TGTATTGACACTGCTACAGTACTAAGACAGACCCACCCTTTAGTACAAACATAATCTCACTTACTCAATCCTGGTGTGCTCATTCATTTGTTCTCCGGCAGGGTTTGGAGAAAACATCCACTGGAGGACGCTGGAAGATGGCAAGAAGGAAGCAGAGGCCAGGTGAGTTCACACCTCGAGCTGAAATAACTGAAACACTTAAACCTGCTGAGCTGCCTTCTGAACAACTATTAGCCAGAGGTCTAAAACAAACAACGTCTTGTACAGGAATAATAACCGGAGAACGCTGACTCATTGATATATCAGCAGCTTGTATTACTGTTGTTTGTTTTAAAAGATAATTCATTTCCTAGGGTATAATTAAGGTGACTACAGTTGCAAGAAAAGTAAAGTTTAAGTTACCAGTTATTTTGTGTTCCCTTGCTTAGTTTCATACTTTACATGTGTGTTTTTATTATGTGTTTGCATTCAGTGGACTGCCAATCATGCTCATCATCCATAAGACCTGGTGTGGAGCCTGCAAAGGTAAAACAAAGCCTCGCCCTGTCACTCTAAAAAAAACATCTAATTTTGATCTGTCATGTCAAGTTATGTCTGAATAGAAACATTAGGGAATGCTTTAGTGCCATACTCAAATGTTTACATGACAAAGGCCATCTTGTTTTGCAAATAAATGTAGCCTGTGTTATTCTGCAGTCACAGTCACAGTGTTGTTTTAGTAATAATAAAAAATGAGTTCCAATCCTGAGTAGGATATTAAAGCCATAACTCCCTGTAGTCAGAACAATTCAGTGAGACTGCAGAAATAAAGAGCATGTTGCTTTTTAGCTTCTGAAATACAACACACCCTCTTTTATATTTTTCCCTTCATTATATCTTAAAGCTTACAAACAAACTTAAGTTAAAGAATTCATTTGAAACTTGAGAAATAAGACCATCAGAGGAGCTCTTCAATGCAGAATAGATTCAACTATTGAGATTGCTGTGAGGACGTTTATGTGAAAGTGCTGAGGCTCTTAAGTTTACCAATTCATTCAGTGTACATGGAGAAATTTAAAGGACAATGATGAGAGAAATCAGGAGTCAGTGTAGCAAAAGAAAACAACAACACAGGTGTCCATACCATCAATATTGGCCCCATGTGGTCTATTTAAGATAGACAACACAAGCAAACCAACCTGTTTGTCAAAATGTCTTCACTTGACCTTAAAAGCAGGCAAACGTGGTTGTCTTGATTCTTTGACCTCAGAGACAAGATACCTGCAGTCATCCTTAAATTAATATATATATATTTATTTATAGTACACTGACACTAAATAAGACTCCTCTTTAATTCAAAGCACCTGCCTGCTTTGCAACTGTAATAATAAAACAGTGCAAGATAATACTGAGAGAAATAATACTGCAGTACATGGCAACTTTAATGTCTGCTTTCATTTGAGCTCAAGATAGACCCGATCCTATACAGACAAATAAACTGGAGTAAGACGATCCTACACCCGACATGATTAATACAACTAGTTGGGATAAAGTTCATCTGAATAAATATCAAGAAAGCAAGTATCGTTATGGTAATGGTACGATTTGTCCTGGATTTGATCGTGATACAGAAGAATAATCGATTGTATTTTGTCACTTTTCAACATCAGCACTGAAGCCCAAATTTGCTGAGTCCAAGGAAATCTCTGAACTTGCACACAACTTTGTTATGATCAACCTGGAGGTAAGAAAATGTAGATTACTTTTTGTGTTGTGAATTAAAGCTCAAGCAGCCACAACAAACATTTCTAATCAGCTTGGTGAGATGTGTTCCCATGCCTGTAAGTGACGAGTTATCTTTTGTGTGAACAGGACGACGAGGAGCCAAAAGACGATGCCTTGACCCCTGATGGAGGATACATTCCTCGGATTCTTTTCCTCGGTACAGGGGGGGGGGGGGGTTGAGTCAGGCTTCATGTAAACACTGTGTGGGATTCTTTTGCAGACTCTGATTGCACTCTTACTCCTGTATTGATAACATCGTGTTTCAGTGGGCAGGATTTCAGTTTCAGCTGCATGTTTCTGCCCCACTGACTAGAAATAAAACCAATAATAGTAGAGAATGATATGAATAAATACAGATGAGTAATTAGTAACAGTTATATGATGGTGTCTTTTATGGCAGCAGTGATATAAATGACTGGTTTTATAAATGCTAGTATTTGGTGTTTTTTAAGTCATGAATGATAACAATAATTGATTATCTTTGAAATTTGGACAGTTGCCCGGACAAAATATTGAATTTGAATTGCTCGATTTGATCCGTCATTTGTTGTTTTGGACAATTTGTTACTAAATATTCCGCCCTTATACGTAATGATTGATTCATATTGAAATGAACTTCTAGTTGAAGCCCTAAGAGCCCCCTCAAGGCTCAGGTAAGAAAAAAAGTCAAGAGCTGTTTGTAAATCCATTCACATTGTTTACAAATCTGTTTGCACGCTGAAGGTCTGTGCACACAGACGTGCAAACCCTATATGAGACAGTTTACAAATCCACACGCTCAGTCGAGGAAACGTGAACTGTGGGAACGGATTTGTAAACAGCTTTTAATTTGTTCTTACCTGAGCCTTCAAGCCCTATATTTTTTGGGATCAGTTATAATCTTGATCAAAGTTAATATTTGCCTCATTTTGCTCCCTCGCAGACCCAAGCGGCAAAGTCCATTCTGAAATTACCAACAAGAAGGGCAATCCAAACTACAAGTACTTCTACAGCAATGCAGACCAAGGTAAACATCCAGATTCAGGCTCTTTTTGTATTCTGTTACTGTTTGCCTTAGCAGCTGTGTCTTCCAAAATGCTAGCTGGACTTGGATTTGATGTATTTGATGATCACTGTTTGTCTCCTCTGACTTTGTTTCCCTCGCTCCCGCTCAGTTATATCTGGCATGAAGGAGGCTCAGGAAAGGTTGACAGGCGACGCCTTCAAGCAGGGTCACGCAGAAGACGAGCTGTGAGGATGCAGAGACGGGCATCGGGCTGTAAGGGCTACACTTCCTCTACCTGAGCCTGTGCTGCAGACCACCCTTTTAACATCTCCCCAAAAACCCCCAAACACTCTCTATTTAAACTGTAACTTTAGACAGTGAGGCTCCATCTCACTTAGCAAACCAAGCCAACCATTAAAACGGTGCTTGAGTCTTTCTTTTTGTTCGATACCTTTCTTTTTCTGATATTACTGTACTCATGTTCCTGTCATTGTTTTAAAAACATGTATATTTGTAAGTAATTAAGTGCCATGTACTGTACTTACTGCCTGTAGAGGATACAACCAAGTCATGCAAGCCAAGTTAACAGTTATTCACTTACACACCTGTGTGCTGTTGTCAGACACACCTGGATAATGCCAAGTTTTAACAGGTAAGCTGTCTCGTTTTTCACCAGACAACACAGAGGTTTTAAAGAATAGAAAGGTTTATCTTTGGAGAGGACTGTTTGATTCACTAACCAGTAACAGTATGTTTTCACCCAACAGCAGTAATACTTCATGTTACTCAGAATACATATTTAAATACCTACAGTGATGTGCTTCCAATGATCCTCTACAGTCTTAACTCTATGGTGTCAGTATTTAACATTTACTATAACCGTATTTCTATTATACACTTTCTTTTACTCCTGCCAGTGTACGTGCTTATTTGCCCGACTGTGTTTTCTGGTTCTGAGTTTGTTTTGCTGCTCGTAAAGTTCTTGGTTCATATTTTTTAAATGAGGGATAAAAACATTGGTAAAGTGTCTTGGTGTATTTTCTACATGTACACAGCCTAGTGTGCAAATAAAGTTTGTTCTACTTAAGTCATGTGTCGTTTCATTGTGAGCCAGATGCATTCACGACACAGCTGTAGTAACAGTATATCAAATTTTATTGTCTATCCAACAATAGTGATCCCTTATGGTGTGTCAAACAATATGAAACGGCTGCAAACAGCCAGCATCAGAACCAGACATGAATCAGTTCACTATTTAAATTCAGTTTGACAGTGATTTAAATAGTGCAGTTACAATAAGACCTTTCTTTCATACCGAGCCACCTCTCAGTGGAAAAAAAAAAAAAATCTGCTACAGCGTATGATTTTCCATGATACAATAAATTACAGGAACAAAAATAAGCGTACGTCTCTAAATAAGTTGGATGTCATGACATATTAACAGTGTTTACAGACTTAAACAATATGAGAGACTAAAAGGAATGTTGGTATGTGATCAAACTCGTCTAAAGGGTTTAAAGATAGACACAAAAAGGCTGAAACTGAGATTTTCAAGGACACAAAAATCACAAAGTAAACCAACTTTAAAATGTGGAAGCAGCTGAAGCTCTTAGTTCATTTAAAAACAGATAAAAAGATGTTTGAGAGAGAAATATAGTCACTATAAATCACTATAATTACACTAATTACACCATGTCGCTGCCATAAAATTAGCAACATTTCACATATAAAAAATCTATAAAAAGCTGTGTGCTTTAGCTGTATATTTAATATGACACAGATATAAAGTTAGATTAAAACTGAGTGATCGTTTAGAATCGAAGGTGTGCAGAAACCTTTTCATTACCAGTGTATAAGACCAGGTTAGACTCTGCTCAGCAGACGGCATCACTCTTAAGACCATTTCTCAAAGGTGGAGTACAAAAAGTTTGAACAACATCTAGAATTAATCCTCAGAGGTTTTAGCATGCATGAGGCAGCTCTCACGCTGGAAACTGCATTCCACATTTCATGGATATCTTTACAAGATTTCACTGAAACGCTGATGTGCTAGATTCCTTCTGTAAACCCAAATGACCAAATTTGACGCTTTGAGACACTCCATCCGAGCGCAACGCAACACTTTATAAAAACTTAATTCACTCATGTTGTCCAGTTTGTTTCTGAGAATAATAAGACGTGAGTTCGGGAAGGAGAGGAGTGTGTGTGTGTGTGTGTGTGTGTGTGTGTGTGTGTGTGTGTGTGTGTGTGTGTGTGTGTGTGTGTGTGTGTGTGTGTGTGTGTGTGTGTGTGTGTGTGTGTGTGTGTGTGTGTGTGTTTTATTGGGATGGGGAAGCCGATTGCGATCTTATAATCTTCCTTGCTTGGCGTCTCCAATGGCTCCCCAGACGTCAAACACAAACTCATCTGGGAAAGCGAAGTCCCGAGGGTCTCGTCTAACGCCATGGCGAATTCATCTGGGTTCTTTTTGTCGCGGCCGACCTCGACCATCGTAGCAGCTGGGGAGGAAACAGCAGAACACTTTACTGAGTAACTGAGAGCTTTTAGGCTCTTTGTTTAACTGTTTTTTTTTTAATTAGTTCAATTTTTCAGCAGTGGGTTGAATCTTAATTTTTTCACGGATGTCTAAAATAAAGATCCGGGAAACATAAAGAGACCACTGCAAAACTCTCTGGTTCCATTTCTTTTAGCCAAGTCTGAATGAAAGGAAGAAAAATGTTTTTATTGTATACAACATTTCTACCAATCTCCATCTTACAAATAAAATATTCTCATTTAGGTCTTATCTTATTTGCAGAAGATAACTGGTTGTAGAGATGCAGTATTAGTCAGATTTTTTTTGTATGCAATAAATAGAAGTTCAGAATAATTTTTTAACCCACAGAATACTTTAATTTAGAAAGTCAGAAAGGGTGATGTCTAAAATGTTTTTGGCAAAGCCGAACAATACAAAGGTAAAACCGAAAAATTTAATCCAACAATTCTAATAGTCTTTAAAGGCTCCAGCATGTTTAGTAAAGCAGACTCATAAAATATTGTTGTTTTGTTGTTGTTAAATTATCCCCGAAGGAGATTTGTTCGTTTTACTCAACTCATCCAAAGTAGTAGGAGAAAAATCAGCTCCTCCTTGGGGTGAAGCAACAGTGCTTAAAAACTTAGCCGATATGCTGACATATTTTCTTCCAGGGTAAAGTACGCTATGTGAATAAATCATGGATTAACATACAGACAGAGGTCACAGAAAGGGCTAACTGAGGCCAAAGAATTTGTGTGAAGCTGGATATGGACCAACCTGATAATCTACTTAAAGTGAATACTGAAAGGCCGCTCAGGAGAAATAAATCTGAAAGATATAGGCTACCTTTAAACCTCTGGGGTTAGAAAAAGTTTAAACTCCATCGTGTGTCATTGTAAGCAAGTAGAAGTTGTGTTTCACAGAAACAGAGAATAAAGTTCATAAATGATACTTAAATGTTGTTACTCACCAAGTTCAGTGTCTCTGATGCCCATGTAGCTCTCCAGGAGGTCGTCCACTTTCTTCACTGCCTTCTCCTCAAACTCTGTTGGCTGGAAAACAAAAACAAGTTCACAGATCAGTTCTTTATTTGATGGTATATAACTCTGGCAACACAGACTGTGTAAGATTAGGTGATCAGTCTGACGTTGATTCATTTTTCAAGATGTCATCGGTGAGGGGAACACATTTACTTCTGGTTATTTACATGACGGTGAAGGAAATGTAAATGTAAGGATTAGTATGCACCATCTTCTGTGAGTTTTTTTCTGTCTGTAACTTCTATGCATCTTCAACAAAGATTAAGATTTTAAGAACAACCAAAGGAAATGCAAATGTTCTATTTACATCAACAGATCAATGTGAAAAGGTTAAAAACCAAACTGTCTCAGTATGAAATGTCAATGATATGAGAAGGTCACTTTAAGGAACTTTAGTGCCCAACAGATGCTTCTCACGCCCGAGATAATGCAGATAAATGCAAATGAAGAAACTCACCTCCTCCTCGACAGTAGCTGGGCCCTTGGAGCGAAGTCTCAAAGTCCCTCTCCCGTTGCTGATCTTGTTGTCACTAGCAGGTTTGGCACCCTTTGACCTGGGCTCAAGCATTTCTGTCAATCAAAGAGGAAACTACTTACTTACTTAAAGCCAATTTCACACAGCTGAATCCCAGTTTTGGCTTGCATAAGCCGTAATTTGTCTTGATGGAAACAGTGCTGTCTCAAAAAAAGGTATGGTTAGACTCTTTTAAGCACATGCATTTGAATGTTTTTCCTCACACAAATGATGCTGTGGATGTGAGCCCTGCTGTGCAGTCCCACATGCTGAGAAACACTGCAGCAAGCGAGTCTTTGTCATTGGCTGAAGGTGAATCTGTCGTCTTCTAAGAGTGGGTCAGTTATGTAACGTGCTGATGCTGATGTTTTTTTTACATCACCTACACTCTTTCTGTATCCTGTTTCTTACTCACCGAAGGCCTTCATGGGTTCGACCAGTTTGAGGGTGAAAACCTTGTCCTTGGGAAGCTCTTTCAGCATGCGGGCCACCTCATAATGTCGCGTCCCCACGATGTTCCGTCCGTTAATGCACTCCACGTGGTCGCCCACAGAGATCACCTTCACCCCGTCCACAACGCTGCCCTCTTTGATACGCTGCCATAAAAGTCAGGACCAATTAGAATAAACACATCAAAAGAAGCCAAGATTACAGTGCTACACAAAAAGAGTTTTTTGAAGGGGTTTCCAAACAGCAGAAGACAAAAATAAAGATCAAACAAGAAGGCAAAGTGTGACAAAGTGCATGTGAGGTTACGCGAGTACAAAACATTCTTGGCAATACTTAACTAGTCTAATGTATTTACTCTTTCATTATGTTATACCAGACGTTCACTTCTTCTTGTTTTCAAGTCCAAAGATGCAAAAAACTCCACTTACCGTGAAAAGTGGAGAAAAGTTTCAAACAGATTATTTCTGATAAGACTTTATAAATAAATAAAAAGCTAAGTTCCTAATCATTAACTCCTCAGTAAAGAGAAGACAAATTATTTTATACCTTTTTTAAATGAATTTTCTATCCTTTTCTTGTAAATGCACTTAAGTGTTCATTCCATAAACCTCTCTCACAGACAAATTACTGTATAAAAAAGGCTTAAAAAGTAGTCCATATGTGATGGAACAGCTGCAGTACACTGGACTATGCCTGGTTGCAAGACATTTAAATTGTTTATAAGATGCGGGAAGAGATAAAGGAGTTTATTCTCCAGACATCAAAAGATGCATTCAAGCTATTCTGTAAATGTAGATTACCTCAGCCGAGCTTAAAGGAGCAGCATTCTTTTTAGCAGTACATGTAATCCAACAGCATCACCACACTGACCCAAGGGGCTTCAGCGTGTCGTAAACAGTGTCAGGTTATCTGGGTGCAGTGCTGTTTGGGAGTCACATGATGGCACACGTGAGCACTTTGTTTTTCTGGAGAAAGATGACCGAATAAGCTCATTACACCAGTCTGCATCGACAGAGGCAACATACCAGGTTGAGTTATTGTTTTTTCTCTTTTATGAAAGCAGCTTTGTACAAATACTTTGAACATGGCAATCTGTTTAGCTGTTTTGAAATTGCATTAGAAAATCCCTCTGAAGCTGTAATAAGTTCAGTTCTCAAACCTGAGATTGATTTACTAGTTTAACTGTTTAATATATTTTGTGTAAAATGAAAAAAGGCTGAAGGAATGACTCCATTGTTGGATTTAGTTACAGGACAGACGATTAATCAGTGACAGCGAGACAACTTTTGGCTTTATCCCGTCGGGGCAAAGCATCAAACAAAGCATCCCCATCACATGTTTTTCTTACTTTGTCTGACCACCTATAAATAATAATAAACATGGATAAACGATTGTTCTCTGCTCCCTGCATATGACAAAAGTATACATGTAAAGTACCTTGATGTTTTGACACAACTTTGGCTGAAAAAAGTTAATCGTCTAATACTGGTCAAAGACAGGTCTTCCATATAAATTTAAGAGTAATTCCATTGTCTTTTAAAGCTGACTAAAAGTGCCTGCCCATGTATGAAAAAAAGTTACATTGAATGAAACATTTCCTTTGTCTCTGCAGTTTAATGAAATGTACTTATGGTTGTTTCAATTTTTAAAGGTTTATTTTTTGGCGTTTTTGTGCCTTTTTTAGAGATATAACAGTAGATAGAGTCAGAAATCGGGCAGAGAGAGTTGGGAACAACATGCGGGAAAGAAGCCACAGGTCATATTCGTTTAGAGGACTATATCCTCTGTACATGGGACATTTTTTCAATGTATTTCTTTTTTGAATCTTTTCTCCAATAAGTAAAAGTACTCAGGAAAATAAACTAAACATTACCTGTGAATGTGTGCAGGGTAACAGGCTTCTGTTCTTCTTACCTTTATAAAGGCGTATCCCGCTCCATTGTCGGTGATGGTGAGGCCCAGAGCGTCTTCAGATTTGTAAATTTCCACCTCCTTCTTGATCCCTTTAATGTGGGCGAAGATAAAATCCTCTAGGCCGATCTGGCCCCCCAGGAGCTTGTCCATGTCAATCTTGTGGGTGTTGAGAGTGCAGAACAGGAGCTGTACACACACACAGACATGGAGCAGGAGGACTTAGTACAACATAATGTGCACATAAAAAGACAAATGATACGTTTAAAACACCATTGACTGTGTAAATACTTCTTAATAGGCAACAAGTTAAATCATAAAAATCATAAAATAGGCTTCACTCCAAAGAAAACTCCAGGAATGACAGCACATTTGAAACAGAATCACAGTTTTTTTTTTTAGCTACAGCCTGAAAATAAACAGTTTGAGTGATGATGATTGAGCACACTGACCCTGTATGCCATCTAACAAAATACCCAGATTATGTCTTGGCTGCAGCCATATATGCAGTTTTACCCTCTTCCAACTCGGTTGAGACATCAGAGTGTGATGTGTGTGTGTATCCAAGAGAGGAAGGGCCAGCTTGTGACGAAGCAGGCGAGGAGGGGAGGCTAAATTACTTTTCCTCCTGTGCCAGAGATTTTAAAATTTGGCCTCACACCTTGTGGCTGCCTGCCTCATCTTGGCAGCACAGAGAAAGGGAAATGCGATCAGAAGGAACACGATACACCAGTGGCCTGATTTAACAGCGCTTTAAACAGACACAGGACGGTGAAACCCAGGAAGAGGTGGAGGAGACAGGAGGATGTGAATCATTCATTCCTCTCTAACTCACCTAGACAAACAGGGAAGCTATTAATAACTCCTATTAGATTTTTTTTATTTACATAGAGTTATGTGCATGTGTAAGTTCTGCATCTATTGTGGAATCAGCTCTCTAGTGAGGCTTTGAGAAATCCAGAGCCAGGACTTGTCAGCTGACCTCCAGGACCGATTGGTGCTGGTCCATGAGGAGGATGACCTTTGTGCACCAATCAGGTTCTGGCAACGAAGGCCGGCCTTGTTTGGGCCCTTCTCCTTTGTGTACCAACAGGCGCTGTCCACACACACACACACGCATTAGCAGACAAGGCCCCATGCGTTGCTGTGGGTTACCAGACTATAAAAGAATGGGATTTTAATAGAGGGAGGCCGCGAGAGGAGTGGAGCAAAGGGAGAGAGGGAGTATGGAGCAGAAGAGAAGGTAAGGGTGGGGTGTAGCTGAATTGATGGCTCTCTTCTCTTCTTTTTTTCCATAACAGACCCCTCTCCCTTGCCTCCTTCACTACCCCTCAAACCCCCCACCAGGCCAGGGCATTACCCAAGAGCGAGTGGGAGGAACAGCAGTGGACGCCTACACCCGGTTACCAAGGCTGCTGACTACATTAAGCTGCTTGTGTGCGACGCATACAGCTCTCAGCACTCCTCTCCTCTCCTCTCCTCCTGCTGGGCTGACAGCCACAGCGTGTTCACACTGCCAGGGGGGGAGAGGCAGCGTCACACACTGCAGCGACTGCTTCTCCTCTCCTCTCCTCTCCTCTCCTCTCCAAGACCTGACTCACGACAGCAGATACTTCACCTCCCACAGCCTGCACACTTACCAAAACCTTGATAACCACAAGGGAAAGGGCAAGTGAAAGGAGAGAGGTTCTGCAATCTGCTCAGCATCACCCCAGACAAGAGTTATTCTTATTCTATGGGTCAAGGCTTTCAAGACAGGAAAGGAGGAGGAAAACAAAATATATCTGATTTAAAAAAATAAATAAACTGAATGTAAGGGTACCTGTAATATTAATATATAATAACATTAATTAAGGACGCATAGAGCTGCATCTGTGATGAAAGTACCACTTTTAACAACAGGAGAAGTTATTTCATTTTTCTGACATAGAATACCTGACATGAGAGATTTATCAGGTTACATTATTTTCTAATGAATTTAAATTGCATTATTACTTGTTTAACTGCAAAAATAATCATTGAACTAATACCAAAGATGAGTGTTAGTTGTACTAAATATGGGAGAAAGTTGCATGGACACCACCTCTTTTCACCGAACTTTGGCTGACAAAAGCGACACCTGGTTAATTTTTTTTTTAATTTATTGCAAATAACAATAAACAGAGCTTTCTACTTTTACTAATCCTTGTGCTCAATAATGTCTTCATTTGTAATATTGGACAAAGAAAACAGAAGTTAGTACCCATGTATAAACTATCCTGAAATATACGGTAGTTAAACAGAAGGATGAAGTGTGCACTCTGCAGATCGAGATATAATCCAGAACTCCTTTCTAACATGTAACAATAGTGAACAGTAGTCAAAAGCAGATAATTAATCATTGGTGTCAATCCATTTTTGTTCACAACAACTTTTAAAACCTTTTTATATGTATTTCTTAAATTGAAAATTGTACATATAAAAACACAAATTTACAAATAATTCTCAATACTACAAGTTTGATCTCTACATAACTTATAAAGAAATGGCACAAAGCTCTCTCTTCTCTCCTCGTGTTTTATTTTTCCACTCAAACTGATGGACACTAAATGTTCCCTGCGTCACTGTAAAGTTTATTTTCAGTGGACGGGACTTTAATCTTCAGTGGCGTTCACTTCACAGAAACAAAGGGGCCAAATGTTCAACGTATGAGGAGACGGTTCGACCCCCTGTCATTTAGTAACTAACACTGACAATGAGATGAGATGTGTCACGATCTGCCTGACTCAGCTCAGCAGATGATTGTTGGATTAATCACATCACACTTTTCACTTCACAGTTAGTCATGAAATTAAACTACCCTGAGTACTTTTACTAACGGATCCTTCTGCAATTCTACAGTACTTTTAGAAGAATTCAGTTTATTCTACTCAATACTTTGAGATTTTGAACATTGAGATGGTATAGACTATACAGGGCCGGCCCGTGGCATAGGCAGTATAGGCAAATGCTAGGGCCGCCGGCCATCCATAGGCACCCGAAAAGAGTGAGGAAGAAAAGTTGAAGATGATGAGAAGAAAAAGAAGAAACAATGTGATAACTATCACTAAATGTTATTTCATCTTATATAACTGTCATGCTATTTTTCAGTAATTATTACAAAACAAGCCAATACAACATAACTACATCACCTATTTAAAAAAGGCCATATTTTCTTGCTCTCTGCTCGACCTGATGCTTCACAACACCGCTGCTTTGTACCTGCTCATTTCGGGGGAAGAGTGCAGACGATAGCTCGTGATAGCCGGGACTCGAACCGGTCCAACCCAAGTCCCTACGGACTGAGCTACTGCCACCCCTACAAATATCAGTTTTAAATGAAGAAAAGCTGTAAAACATAAAGCTGTATGCCCGTTTTAAGTGTATGAATATTGTGATTGGTCGTAGAATTGGTAGCATTACAAGGGGCGCAAGCTAAACTCTTGCCAGGGGCACTAAGTGGGTTCGGGCCGGCTCTGCTTAAATATGTCATTGAGCATACTTTTTATGAGCTCACTAAATATGATGCTTTTGTAGATATTCTACACAATACATGAAAGTTACAATTATCTGCACTTTTACAAACTACAACATTAATATTTTAATTTTGCTTCAATAAAATAATGTTTTGCATAATCCATAGTCCTTTGCTTTTACTGTCATTAAGAGCAGTGCTCTCCCTCCCTCTCTCTCTCGCTCTCTCTCCCTCTCTCTCTTTGTTGTGTACTTAGTGAAAGCTTACACTGTTGTATCTTTTACTGGAAAGATAACGATTCCCCTGCTTTAAGAGCAGCTAATGTGTTTGTTTGCTAGTTTTAAACACAATTCCTGAACCTCTATTGGATTTATTGGCAGAAAACATTAAACCGATTTAACAATTAACCCTAATGAAACTCTTCATCTTCTCTTTGTTTTGACACACAGGACAGGATATACAAGCATTACAAGGTGAATATTTGTTTCTCATTAAATACAATGTAATAAAATGTTTTGTTAATTTCAGCTATTCTGATCATATTTATGTTCATTTGAAGTTATTGATGTCAGGTGTCCAGCACACAGCAACATAACAGTTCAACTGAGAACCCTGCTAAGACATATTACTTTTTTTATTGCAGTTTTGTTCTCCTCACACAAACCTTTTTCAAGCTTTAAATAATAATAATAATACCGCAGTCCAACATTATGAGAGAGATTTGTCAAGCAGACATTGGACATTTTAATATAATACAACGGCTGATATTGAACCATTAAATCTCCACCTACATATTCTCTACAGAGATCTCTCCACTTGCCTGTAAAATAGAGTCAAAGATGATAAATAAATAAAGTCATTTAACAGGACAACCCTCTGAATTATGTCCTGCACTGAAACAGTGTTGATTTAAGCTTAAGAAACCTGTTTCTTTGGGTATTAAAGTATTGTCAAATGTCAATTTAGAGCCCCTTCAACAGATGATAACGACAGAGAAGAGAGTGGGGAAGAATAAACTGATATAATAGCTCACATAAGGGAATTATTATGGTGTATAAAAAATAAAAAATAAATAGATGTCCTCTTTCCAGTCTTCATCCATCGTAATATCTGTGGCTAGGGTTTTAGTTGTTAACAGGGATTGCTGATGTAAGCTGTGTGTTGTGGCGTGGCTCAGTGTTCAACAGGATATCACAGTCATCAGCATGAAAGCCAGTATAATCATTAACCTAACAGCGGATGTGAGATTCTGTGGAAACATAACTGAGGGATGATTCATAAAGTCTGATCAGAGAAACAGAGCTTATAATTAGAAAGCCTTTATCGACTGATCCTGACTCAACCAAGATTTATTGATTTCATAAAGTTGATCTAATGTGATTCTGCTCAAATGACAAGAGACACTCAACACCGATCACATCAGTTCATAAGGGAAAATAAACAAACATATAAAGATGAAAATCCATGTGCAAGAGCACCGAGCAGCAAAAAAACAAACCACTGCAATAAAGCAGAAAACTTCTGAGAGCTTGTTTTAAACTCAGATTGCTGAAGGATTCTGCATGTCCCTCTGAGATGTAGCCCTATATGCGAGTATAATTTATTTTCTTTGTATACCAATGTGCTGAAAATTAAAGTGTAAGACTGGCAAGTTGAAATGTGACATTGAAGAACCTGAATTCATTATGGATTACGG